GTCGGAACGTGACACTCCGATCCTCATTCTATCCTGGTGTCGGAACGTGACACCCGATCCATATTCTATCCTGGTACCGAAACGTGGCACCCGATCCATATTCTATCCTGGTGTCGGAACGTGACACTCCGATCCTCATTCTATCCTGGTACCGGAACGTGGCACCCGATCCATATTCTATCCTGGTACCGGAACGTGGCACCCGATCCATATTCTATCCTGGTACCGAAACGTGGCACCCGATCCATATTCTATCCTGGTACCGGAACGTGGCACCCGATCCCCTAATCTCACTACTTTCGTTCATCAAGCCTTCTTTTATACCAAGGCATCATCATTAACAAAGTAGATTAGGGTTTCTTTTTGAAGATTTAGGATTCAATAGTTTCATCATGCTTATTTCATCACAATTATATCATCACATTCATGCAAGCATACAATTAATCATATAGAAGACTTTACAATACAACCCAACACATATCATTCGCTATCAAGAGTTAACTACGAAAAAAACCATAACCTACCTCCACCGAAGATTCGTGATCAAGCAAGCAATTTCCTCAAGATCTTTGCTTTCCTCTTTGTTTCCCTCTCTCTCTCGAGATCGTTTCTCCCTCTCTTTCTGTTCTTTTCTTTTTCTTATTCAAACCCTCTTTCTTTTACCCTAATTAGCATATAATTAAGTATGAAAGATGATGAGTTTAACCCACTAACTAACTCAAGGTTACCTCTTTTAACCCCCAAGTAATTGAGTTATTAATATTTAACCACTAACTTTATAATTATAAGCCGGAATAGTCCAAAACGCCCCTTAAAATAATTACAGAAATCTGACCCAGTCTGGGATTACGCAGCCTGTGACGGGCCGTCGTGCCTGCGACGGTCCGTCCTGCTGCTCCGTCACAGAGTTCAGAGACTCAATTCTCTGAAGAGTCTGTGACGGTCCGTCACGCCTGTGACGGTCCGTCCTGCCATTCCGTTACGAAGTTCAGAGAGTCGATTTCAGTACCCATTTTTCAGAATTTCTAAGTGTTTTGAAACGAGACCCCTCGACGGTCCGTCGTGCCCATGACGGTCCGTCGTGGGTTCCGTCGTCCCAGCCAGTTTTTCCAGAAATAAAATCTGCTGCTCAAAACGACTAAACAGGTCGTTACAATATGATTGATTTTTTTTAAAAAAAATCATTTGTAAGTGCAATTTAAATTGAATAATCGACACCAATAATGAATCATAAACCAATATTATTTTTTCCTTGCTAATGCCTTTGGCTTTAAAGTCATTTAATAAGATTCTCTAGATCTCATGAATTTTGCTCAAACCCATAATTTGAATATGGTAAAATTTGAAAATATTGAAACGTTTAATATAGGACTTTATAGTTCAAATAAAAGAAAGATTTCTTCTTTTTTTCTATTGAAGTTTTAAACTTTTAAATATTACAAAAATAATTAAATGACAATTTTGTTTAACGTTAGGTCTATTTTAAAAGGTTAAAAAGGCTAACATTATTTAGCTAAGGTTTCTATAATTTTGATTAATGTGTTTTAGTGCAAAGAAAAATATAGAAGACATCAACGAGTCAAATCAAATATAAGATTTTTGTATTGAATCATAAAGTAAGAAATTAGTTATAACTTAAGAGAATTAAACCAGCAAGGAACCAAAATAAATAGCTTAGCTCTTCATTCTACCAAATTTCAATCACTATGATTTTTTGATATCTAGATACATTCAAATAGGGAAAAAGACAGAGCAAAATAATTATGTATCACATATACACGTGAATCACAGTAGATATTGTTTAGAATCTAGCTACGATACATGACCCAATTGATATACTATTAAATTACATTTGGGACAAGCGTTAAAAGGAATGAGCATGTGCACTAAAGATGTCTATGAATATAGGATGAATTGTCTCATTAGGGTTATGTTATGACACGGTACATGTATTTAGTGTGATTCACATGTATTCAGAAAAACCAGAGAGAGGCAAACACGATTTATTATGTATCCACATACACGTGAATCCACTTGGATTCAATGTATCTAAAACAAATTACACTTAATTTTAATCTCATTTATTCCGAGTATATATATCTGGACACACCAAATTTTTTTTGTAAGATTCATAATATTATAAGTTATAATTTATTAAGTAATTAACACCTAAACTAGTGAATTAATTTAAGTTTTTTCCATTTAAACAAGCAATTAATATATAGGTTTAATGAATAAATAAAAAAATAAAACATGCTTAGCATTGAGACAATTATAATAAAAGGGTTAATATATTTTTGGACTAAAAGGTAAAATAAAGATATTGCTGAACTATTTCTAATTGGTTAAACTTATTCTCGAGCAAAAAAAAAAAGTAAAAGAAGGATATTTATGAGTATTTATAATAAAAACTAGATAAATAAGCTTCCAAATTTGCATACTACTACGTAAATTAGGAAAGAAGTATTAAGTATAATATTTGTAAAAAAAATTTCATAAATTTGAGTTTGTTAATGATTCTACTAACTAAATTTCCATAATTTGAAACGAATTAGTATTCTTGAGTGCGGAGTTAAAACGGTAAAAAAAATTGTCAAAAATTTCAAAAGGGCATATCAATTTCTTTTAAAACTAAAACGGTAAAAACGCTAGCGACTTGTACTCTCAAAAAGTGAAATCGCTGCAATAGCAGCGATTTCTTAAAATTGCCTTTTTTTTTTTACAAAAAAAAATTAAACAAATCGCTCCACACGGAGCGATTTTCAAAATAAAAAAAATTAATTTTTTCTATAAGTCGCTGCAGAAGCAGCGACTTCCATCAAATTTTTAAAAAAAATTTTTTTGCTTTATTTAAAAGAAAAATTGATTCAATTTTTCTTTAAAAAAAATCATTGGCAACGATTTTTAATTAGTTTTTTTTTAAAAAAAAANTCAAATCGCCGTAAAGCAGCGATTTACACTAAATTTATATATTTTTTT